AAAATTTTGGAAGTCTCAAATCAAATTTCAATCTCTAGAACTAAAAATGGACCTTTAGATCATTACATGCTCATAATCAAAACGCCAAAATCTTCCAAAAACTCTTCCAAAACATATCCGAGTCTCATGGGACCCCGACCAAACATGCCAACATAACTCATAACATCATTCAAACCTGTTCCAATCATCAAAACACCTCAAAAAATATCAAATTACCCAAAACTCATCGAATTCAAGCCTAAGTTTCCAAAAATTTCTGAAATACACTTTCGATCAAAAATCCGACCAAATGATGTCCGAATAACCTGAAATTTTGCACACACATCAGAAATGACATAACGAAGCTACAGCAACTCTCGGAATTCTATTCTGACCCTCGGATCAAAATCTCATCTATCAACCGGAATTCGCCAAAATATTGACTTCGCCAATTCAAGCCTAATTCTATACCGGGCCTCCAAAACCACTTCCGATCACACTCCTAAGTCACAAATCACCTCCCGGATCTAACCAAACCGTCAGAATTCACATGCGAACCCTCTAACTCATAAGTCAACGTCCGGTTGACTTTTCCAACTTAAGCCTTCTTAAAAGAGACTAAGTGTCTCATTTCTTATCAAAACCACTCCAAAGCAACTCGATCACATAAGATACGGATAATAAAGCATAAAGAAGCTGAGAATAGAAAAAACGGAGCGGTAACCCATGAGACGACGGGTCGGGTCGTCACATGTTATAAGTCGATAAATCAATTTACAAGTATATCAATACCTAAAAGAACCCGTCCCTGTATTCCGAGCGCTTCATGTTCTCTCTCTCTTTCTCTCTCTAAATATATATATATATATAGAGAGAGAGAGAGAGAGAGAGCTTATATACTATATACTATATTATACTATATATATCGAATATNTAAATCAGATTTATTTATATTTTATAGAATATTAAAAATAATAATATAATTGTTAAACATTAGAACTGGGTCCCAGATTAGCGATCAAAGTTGGTCTATATTTTTTTAAGCGGCCAACTTTGGTCGCTAAATTTGAATTATATTTTTTTATATTTTATAATTTTTTATAAAAATATAATTATTAAAATTTTATAATTGGGTCCCATCTTTTGCGACCAAAGTTGGTCGCTATCTGCTTACCCCTTAATTGGCGACCAACTTTGGTCGCTAATTTTAAATTATATTTATTTATATTTTATAATTTTTTTAAAATAATTATTATAATTTTATAAGTTGGTCCCCTTATAGCGACCGACGTTGGTCGCTAATACCTTTGACCAAGCAAGTCTGACCGGCCCGGTCAATATTTTGATGAAATTAGCGATCAAGTAGTGACCAACCTTGGTCGCTAATCTATATCAAATAATTATTTTATTATTTTCGTCAATTTAGCGACCAACTTTGGTCGCTAAAGTTTGATCGCTTTTTTTCGGAATTCTAGTAGTGAGGTCTGCTCGAAATTTTATAAGCAGAGAGCAGAAATAAAACAAGGATCTTGATGAATGATAAATGTAAAAGAGGAAAATATGTAATGCAAGAAAAAATTATTGTTAAGCAGAAATTACAAATATCTGGACAAAGGATTTGATAATATAATATTGCAGTTGAATGATGCATGTGCGAACTGCGAAGTAAAAAATTGTTGAGTCTGATACAAGACATTTTGTAGCACTAAGTTTCTTATTTTAGTTTATTTATAAGTGTTTCTATGTGAGAGTTCTAATTTCCTAATTCCAATTACTACTGTTATGTGAGACTTCTAATATGACGATCCATATTAATTATTCACAAAATAAATTATAATGTATTCTTATTTACTCAAAGCTTTGTTTAATAAAAATATTATTATTATACAAATTTGTCGTGCCAAGAAACTAACTAATATATCATATTGCTAGTTATATCATCTTAAAAAAGATGTACGTGGCAATGAGACATATACCTCAACTCTTTGGTATGTGCATTGAGACACTACTTAAAGTGAGATGAAACCCCGAACTTGAGCTAGACTTGAAAATATAAGCGCAATAAGACGAACGCCTAACAACATTATATATAGGTGCTTTAAACTGTTGGCATTCCTCTCCCATATGTACAGCGAAATCTCCACTAAAATTTTCTGAATGCATTATGTTAAGGTCCCGCGATGTGTCACAGGGCGATTCCCCTTGATCTACCTAAACAATCAAACTGGGAGTTTGAAACCTTAGATACAGCTTCCTGTTTTATTCCTTCTGTTAAATAGGACTAGACTTCTTACAAGAGTAGGAAACCTATAATTTAGGCTTCTTAAAAACACAAATACATATATAAACTTATTCTAAACCTATTGAAATACTGAATTCACTTATTGCGCCTAGCATAGATACGTCCCACAAATGAGTCCATAACACATTATCAGCTCAATTTTTTTTGCAAGAGATATTTGTTACTTGCAGATGGCTAAAACAGAGAGATTTAATTAATTGTTTTACTTTGGTGAAGGGGTTAAGAATTAAGACCATTTGCTACTTGCAACAGATGGAGCGTAATATGTCTGGATTTTTGCTCTTGAAGTCAATGAAAGAGTTCTTTAAAGCAACAAAGCCTAGGAAAACCAACAATTAGTATTACCTACCTCTAACAGCCCTACAAAGCCTTGTATTCACATAGTCAAAAGATACACATAAAAAAAGAGCCAGATTCACTCTCTCTCTATATATATATATACATATATGAAGGTAAGATAAGGAGAACTAATTCATTGAGATCCACGGGAGTGGAGATGATTTATAGAAGGCCCCATTATTATCTGGATCAAGAGGTTTCGATTATTATTGAACTGGGTTAACTTAATTACTGTTTATGGACTAAGCAATTGAAGAAGTGTATATACATACAGGTTTCCCTAGAATCCCACTTAAAAGAGAAGATGAGAAATGGGTAGCAAACGTAATTGGTGAAGTGCCATTTTCATTTTTTTTCCCAAATACAATGATTCCAAAGCTTAAATGAAAAGGCAAAAACATAATGCGTTGACTAAGAAAAGCTTTATTCCGAGACAAGTTAAAGGAAAATAGGAAGTGGCATAGGAAGATGAAAAGTTGAGATTGCAAGAACAGAGGTTTATTTAGTGATGCTAACTGTACGTGTTGAACTAATGGTATCCGCTGTTTTCAATTTAACTTTCGGATCTTTTTAAAAAGAGTAGTCCACTTCAATCCATTTGAAATTACATTGTATTTGGTGTAATTATTCTGATTTATTACTTGTATATCTCAATTTAGTATTCAAACAAGGTTAGAGTAAACAGTATATAATGCCATCCAGAACAATAACATATAATTGCAGATCTAACAGCCTAATACTAACAAGCAACTCTTACAGACAGTAATTTCCCAACTTTTTCATCAGCATATGTGAACTAGGAAGCTCGTTCTTATTCAGCCTATCAATAACTCTCTATCATTCATTATGTCATCAATCTGTGCTATCAACCAAGTCTTTGCCTTTCGGTGCAGAGTAATAACTGTAGCAACAAACAGATTTGCTGTCCAAAACAAATGCCCACAGAAAAACAATGGAAGCCAACAGCACCCAAGAACCCTACCCAAACCCCAACAAATAACACAACACTAATGTTTCACAAATCATATTGCAGATCCATCCATCCCTGGCAATGAGACAATTTTTGGGAAATTTACACATCCAACTAATAAAGAAAACAGGTATTCAAGTATTCTGTATTTTTGCAGCATTGATCTCAAAGCTGAGTTTCGGAATTTTAGCAAATCTGTGCAACAAAATTCCTAGCTCCAAACATAACTCCACAAGGGATGTCATGCATCAGACATCAGAACTCCCTGGAGTTGAAATGCATGCAAAATACTAGTAATAACTTGACAGCAATCAAATATTAGAGATGTTCACATATCGCAGCTATCGAAGGCTACATAAATTCAACTCATAAACCTTGTAAAACACATGTTGACCAATTAAACAAGATAAACCCATATATTAATTCTTTTATAGGTTGTAAGTCAACTCTTAAGAAATCCAATATAAAAATGAAATGCAATATAAATAATATGAACTACCTAAAAAGTCACGCTAACTTCAAGATTTAAAAGGCATATGCAAATTTTAAGATTCGGACCTTTTTTACTGCGATTTTGTTTCCACATGTACAAGTCTAATTTCTGACTCAAAAGTTACAATATCTAGACAAAAACTTAAGCATAACTTGCTTTTACGCACTGTTTACATATTCCCCTTTTGCTTTGCAAACTTTACATTATTACTCCTAGCCATTTGATAGAAACAAAAGTTCTCTGCACCACTAAAGCACATCCTAATGGGCCCTGTGCCTCTCACTTGGTATTTCCCTCACTAAGTAGAACCACTAACCATGCATTTTGTTATGGTCCATTGCAAGGTATGGGAATTGAGTCCTACATCGGAATTGAAATGTGCTGATGTGGGGTTTATATAACTAGCTTTTGAGGTGTGGTTCTCCCTGGGTTGTATCAATGGTATCACCCACCGCCCTCCGTGCCCACCGTGCCATGGATGGTGACGCCGGTATTGCAGTGTTCGCTCGGGGCTAGAAAAGTCTAGCGCACAGCCGTCGGGGATGACAGATGCGGAGCGTGATGGTTTGTTATGGTCCATTGCAAGGTATGGGACTTGAGTCCCACATCGGTAATATGTTGATATGGGGTTTATATAGCCTTGGGCTCTCCCACCTTAATAGCTAGCTTTTGAGGTGTGGTTCTCCCTGAGTTGTATCACATTCCCCGTCACTAGGTATGGGAAAAAACCTAGCAAACTTGATATCCCCACTTTCTGCACAACCTACCTTTTGGAATCTCACTAACAGGCATGTTATGAGGCGACTGCAAATGACTTCTATGATTGGATAAAAATAAATAACAGTGAACCCCTGTGGCTAGAAGGCAGCAAAAATATGAAAATGATACTATTCAAATTGCAATATAAAAGATGGATGTATTCTGAAATAGAACTTTATAGAAATTGGAGTTTCTTTACACAAGAATGGGAATAACTTACAGAAATTTACACTTCATAAATTAAAGTTACATAGACCACTGCAAAAAAGGTTTTGCAGTTTAAATAATAAGTCAATCGTACACCCCTTAAAGCTGTCAAAAGATCTGAAACATAAGAAAATAATGGCTCTCCCTTTATTAAATTAGAAAACTCACCAAAGGCTCAAGAATGTAGGATATTATCCGTATTGATTTCTTCTTGCATCTTAGTCATATATGACTCAATTGTCTCCCCTCCATGACTGGACTCATTCAAGTTGTAAGTAGCAGAACCTCTTTGGATATTAGGACAGTCTTTACTATTTCGAGAAGCAAAGGTGGTATTTGCATTTCAACCAAGAATATGCTTACTTGCTTGGTCATAAGCTCCGACACCTTTATCCAAGCCAACTGTGTCACCACAACTTTTCCTTCTGCCAAACTTTGGTGATTTTGCACGCGTTGGTGGTGGCTGCAGTACCAAAAAAAGAAAATAGAATTATAAGGTGGTTAAGCTGATAAACAGCAGGAGATGTGTCAACAAATCAGCAACCCAATGTGAACTTTTAACATGCCAGAAGGCCACAAGAAAAAATATTTCAGTCACACGGCAGACTAAACTATGGTTAACCTCAACTAGAGGTTGACATTTCTGTAAGTTATTGGCGATGGCATTACTTTTTTCAATTCAACTTTAGGTGGAGGTCCCTCCTGGTAGAAGCTTGGCATTGGGTTTGCCTTGAACAACAAATTCCTTCTCAGTTGCTTCATAGCTGCTTCTCTCTCTTCCTGAGTTTAGAAGGTAGAACGAAAAATATTGTTAAATATAAATGATAATGTACACATTTATTCGGTTTCTGTCGGATGGTGTTCATTGATCTATATTCCACTATTACAGCCAGGATCAGGTGACAGCAACGTAAAGCAGAAACAACATATACCTTTGTTCTTTCCTCGCATTGAATTTTCTCAGCCTCCAAAGCTTGATGTTTCTCCTCTAACTTTGAGTAAAACTGAAATAAGGGAAAAAACAAAAAGCAAGCAAGAATCAGCCAAGATTCAGATTTTTCACTTTAAGGAGAACCAGTATTTCCTTTTCTGTTGTTATTTTGTTTTTCATGTCATTTAGAGGGGACGAGTAGAGGGGGGACAATGAGGTCAAAACCCATCAAATGGTAGAACTTTATCAGCAGTTTCAACAGTCCTAAGCAGAAGCACAAATCAACAGCTACCTCTTTCCTTCTCGCTGCACGTTCAGATGACCGAAATGTTGGAGCGGACGCAACAGTGGCCCTGGATTTTCTTGCTGAGATCACAGAACTTCTCATTGTTGAGGAAATCATCAAATGGCAAAGCAGAATCCCAAAATAAGGATACAACTCAGAAAAGCGAAAACTTCATCAAGTTAGATTAAGGAGAAAGATCATACCAAGAGGCAATCGATGAGTCTTCCTCATCAGAATGCTTGTTATCAGATTGTAGTGGCTTCTTAAGTGCAACTGATAAGGAAACCTGAGAAAGAATATCATAGCCACAAATTCAGAGATAAACATGCTGTTTGATCCATAGACCTTAACTCCAGTAGTTATGCACTAACTGCTCATCTAAAATTAACTTTTCCCATTAACCAAGAGCGGAAGCAAAATAAAACGTGAGGACTTTGTCATTTTGCAGTATCAGGTGTTATGGATTCATCCTCTCCCTTCAATGACATAGTCCAGTAGACAGTGGTGAAAAAGCACATGAAGCATAGGGGGCAAACCTGGTTTTGTACAGATCTTGGGACTTGCAAATTATTTCCTTCGGATGACTTCTGCGCAGCACTAACGATGCCTGCATCATTCCCAACAAGACGAGTTCCATGAGAAGCACGCCTCTCAGTTGCCAGAGCAAATGGTTGGGGAACCGTGCATTTTGTTTTACAGCTTCCAGCTACAGATTTGGTTATTGATTTCACTGAAGCTCTTGGTCTCTTGTTATCATCTTTTACCTTTGAGGCGTCAGATGTTTTCTGTTTTGAAGGCAATTCAATCTCACAGTTTGAGCTTGGTCTATCTTGTTCCTGTCTGCGCTCAGCTTCACAGACTTCAGAGATCTCAATTGACATTTCAGCTGTGCATTCCTTCATTTCATACTCCTTTATCTCAACGTTCTCTTTCAGCATATCAATTCTCTGCTCCGCAGTAACATGCTCAGATGACTGTAACACATTTTGATTACTGTCTCTCATGTAACTTGAATTTGGAGAAACACCATCTGAATAACTTATGGTACAGTCTTGCTGCTTTTCCATACAGATGTCTGTAATTTCTGATCCCGTCAACCTCTGAAATAATATAAATAAAATAAGAAAACATTACTTATAGCTAAGGGCTTCATCAAGCTAGAATATCTTTTGGATTCATCATCAAAAGTGGTAAAGTAATTTGATTAATTTGTTATCCTAGAAAAATTGCGTGCTCCTGTATGTGTTAATAACTTTGCACTAACCACATAAATTTCTTGATCCAAACAGGTTTGGATGGTTCCATTGAGTTAGTGAAACGGAAACCATTTTGATATTACGTTCCAGTATCAAGAGGACTCCTTCTTTCAATATAGGATCTCTCAATAATAATCAAATAGTTCTTCATCGAAAATAACAACCGAATACTTCCTCTTTTCTGCACAGTTGATGATATATAGATGCCAATTTTCTATTTAATGGTTAAACAATCTTTAAATACTGAATACACAAGTGCATAGACACTCGAAATTGTCCTTTATAAACAATCATAGGCAAAATCAGGCAACAGCCAACTGCGAACATTTCAGTTAGAGGCACATTCATCCTTGTTTTGACCCACTAAATTGTGCACAAAATGAACTTAAAGATACCCATCTTCAGAAGCATGATAGCAATAGGACAGATTAACTCTTAGGTACTAGGAATCAGCATACTGATGTGCCATGTTCATTTTGGAAAAACGTACATTGTCAGACAAGGCGGAAAGATCTTATTGTTCCAAGAAAAAATAGCCTTTATAATTTCTGTGATAAATAATTAGTGAAGTCCTGTCATATCCATCAAAAACCTTGATTGTTACACAAAGAGATCTAATGAAAGTAAACCAAATTTCCCTAAGATCCAGGTTATATTGAGAAGGGTGAAACATTTGCTTTGATCAGTATAACACGGACTCTCTATCCAGCAGCAGTTTCTGAGTCGCTTTCTCCAGCTATTGTGCGTTTGAGATTAAATAAATTCAAGCACACATTTCTAACAAATTAAAGTGGTAAGCGAGAAGCCTTGTAATACTAAAATCAAATTTATACAGTGTAGTTTAGGATCAAAGGATGGGTGTCCTAATACTAAGGAACAAAAAGAAAGAGCCAGAATCATTTTGCTTCCCAGTAATTAATGAAACAAGGAGAACACAGAGATAGAAAGGGAAGTAAACTCCAATCATAACACCTCCACGCATTGAGTCCAACACAAAAAATATGCATGTAGTTATACATAATACCTACAGGACAATCATATATGAATCAAGATGTGGGGGGGTTGCATAAATTGTGCCAATCGCAGAACAAACTTTATGGAAACCTCATAATGAATTACATATCTGAAAAATGAAAAGGTAAAGCAGGGATACAACTATAGTCTATGTTTTACTTTTGAATATCATCGCTACAAAACACAAATATCAATATTGGACAATTTAATGAAAACTGAGCTAAATATCAAGATTTTCAGAAATCCCATTGTTTCACATTTTTCTTCCAGAAAATCAGAATCAGACATCTAAATATCAATATTTTAGAAATCCCATTGTTTCACATATTTTTACCTCTAAATTAACATCTAAAATCTGACTCCATGTTCTAATCAACCAAAATATCAGTAATCGGCAATCAAACTTGAAACGCGTTAAATAATGAGACATTCATCTCTTTGTCTAAATTATCACACCCACCAAAATTACAGCTCAAACCCTTAAAACCAGACAAGAATAGATTGAAGAAATTAAAGAATTGGTCTTTCAAAAACCACATTGGTAACATTTCCAGGAAATGAATAGTATAGCAAATTGATAAAGACCTTTCTCCTATCTGGATCTACCCCATAATTTCCATAGCAATATAGCATTATAACCAAATTCGAACGGATCGACAGTCTCACAAGAAAGAAAAAAATGTACCAAAAATAACACAATCACCTAGATGTAAAGATTTTGAGAATTCTATGTCACGCACCTTGAGAAAGATCAATTTTTGCTTCTTCTTCTTCTTGTTCTATATGTCGGTCTCTGTTACTGTATTTATATGTGCCTATTCTTATCCAGAATGCACTTATTTTTGTTAGTTATATATATANACTTGCCAATTTATGTTATTGATATTTATGTTCTCTCAAAGCGTATGAGCTAATTGATTGAGCAACTGATGAGGTCAATATATATATGTGTGTCAATTAGAATGAAATAGATTTAGATAGAGTAAACATATACAGGAATATAATTGCATTATTTGGGATTACTATTTACACAAAATAAAGTGAATTACAAAAATCATAACGTAAAATTCATTTAATTAAGAATTACATGTAAGAACTCATCTTCCTCTACTACATGTGCATGGTACATTTAAAGTAGTTTAACATTTATTTAATTATAATATACTAATCTTAACTATATCCCAAAAGCATTATTTAAATTGTTAAAAATAAAGTGGCTTTAATTGTGTGGTTAAAAATCGAGGTGACATTAAAATTATTGAGCAAATTACGATCCAATTATTTTATATGTTGGTAACTCCCAAAAGTTAGAATAAATTGGTTGTCAATAAATCATCGTGTGTGTATATATTAATTTGTTATTGTAAAATTTTAGGTCGGTAGAAGTTGATGTTGATGTGAGAAATTATTATGTTGAGATAATAATATAATATATTTTTATAATTTAAATTAAGATATTACTAAATGTATTTTTATTAGTTATTACTCCATATAGTATTATTTCACTCAGTTTCAATTTCGATGAGATAGTTTGAATTTAGCTGTTACCGATACACTATCTCTTTCCTTCTTCTTGTTCTGAGGGTCTATCGGAAACAGCCTCTTTACTCCTCCGGAGTAGGGGTAAGGTCTGCATATACACTACCCTCCCTAGATGTTGTTATTTGATTTGGCACGAAGTTTAAAAAAGAAAAAGAAAACTTTTGAAATTTGTGGTCCTAAAAGCTTTGTGGGGCCGTGATAGTTGTATGAGTGTAAGAGCTTCTCATTACGGGTAAAATGAGTAAAATAAAAAATTTAAAGTTAAATTATTTCCAAATATAAAAATCTGTCATTCTTTTGGAATAGACTAATAAGAAAAATACTTTATGAAAATTGAAAGGAAATGGGTATTTATTTTTGAATCATATTGTATTTTTATTTGTTTGTATCACCGACAATATGTGAGATTATAATATTTAAGTTTATACCAATAGTTATTTATATAATTTATTCTTTTTAATTTACAGAATATAGCAGGATCATAATATTATCCGCACGTTGTGCGGGTACTAACACTAGTATATAGTAAAAGAAGACAAATGCTATTTATAGCAGGAAGAAGAAGGTAAAATAGCAAAAGGAAAAGCTCTTTATATATGTTATTTTTCTTAATTTCTTTATGTGTTCGGACAAAAAAGAAAGAATCGACGAGTAATATTCTTATCCGATAAACTACCAAAGATATAATTGATGTGCGACCATAATTATTGTAATTAAAAGAGCCTATACCAAGGAGCAAATTAAACAAAATTCAGAAGAACGTATGCAAGGAACAATAAGCGTTAAATATTCATTAGAAATAACTCCACAACTTTTGTCATGCATAAAATTTTGTTTTTGTTTATGAATTGCATTTCAAAGGAAAACAAGCGGTAAATAATTATTATCAATAAAAAACCTAGTACGAAGTACTTATAGAATATTAACGAATTTTTTAACATAGTTAATTTGTTGTTCATGTCCCTCAATCACCGTGATAGTCAAATATTGAACTTGTGATACTAAAGTTATCTTACTCTTAAATGTAACTTGTTAAATTTTTTCTAAATTAAAAAATATTAGCATGATATACAGGTTAACAAGTGGATGCTAGACAAGGGAGTATTCATGTTACGGCTTTGGTCTTGGAAAACTGCTTCATGCCATAGATCCCCAACCCAATTTGTGGAAAAAGTCATGACTTTTGAAACGCTTGCTATAAGAATGACTCTTGAACGTGTAATTACAAATAATTGAAAGAAGGTGAAAATTTTATCAAATGCAAAGAATGTTATTGATATGATCCAGAAAAAATAATTAGTAACTCATGGGAGATAGAAGTTCCTTACGAAGATATTTGAAAACTATCAACTTTGCTTGATCGTATCGACTTTGTTTATATTCCTAAAAGTCTAAACAAACTAGCACATAACTGAGATAAGTTTCTACTATTTTGTTAAAGGAAGTATATTGGTAAAACTATCTCCCAAATTGGATTGTACAAGATCTCATGGGCACCTAGGGGTGTATATGGACCGGGTTGGTTCGGATTTTCCAATTACCAAACCAAACCAATTGTCTCTGATTTTTAAATATATTAACCAAACCAAACCAACAAAAGTTGGATTTTTCAATCTCGATTTTTCTCGGATTTTTTTCGGTTTTCTCGGATTTTTTGGGGTTTTTTCGACAAAATATTCATAACATAAATTTTATAATTTGTGCTCTAATATTTCTTAGGTCCTAGTAGGATAAAACCATATAAGATGTTACCCAATAAAATAATACAAAATATTGTGAGATGAGTCATGATTATACTATCCGAAGGACGACTTCCCCTTGCCGAACATACACATTCTAATTGACAACTGCGCCAAACATGAACTGCAGTCGTTCGTTGATTGTTTTTCTGGGTATCATCAGATATGGATGGATGAGGAAGACGCGGAGAAAACAGCTTTCATTACGCCGTGGGGGATGTATTGTTACAAGATGATGCCGTTCAGGTTAAAGAATGCCGGGGCCACCTACTTGAGGGCTATTACTGCTATTTTCCATGACATGATATACAAAGAGATCGAGGTATATGTAGACGACGTCATCATCAAATCCAAGAGAGTCAATGACCACATGGAAGATCTGAGGAAGTTCTTCAACACATTAAGAAGGTACAACTTGAAGTTGAATCCCGCCAAATGTGCATTCGGGGTTCCTGCCGGAAAACTACTTGGGTTCATTGTGAGTCGTCGAGGAATAGAACTGGATCCGTCAAAGGTCAAAGTCATCCAAGAATTGCCACCACCAAAGAACAAGAAAGAGGTTATGAGTTTCTTGGGAAGGCTTAACTACATCAGCCGGTTCATAGCTTAATCCACTGTCATTTGTGAGCCAATATTTAAGATGTTGAAGAAGGACACCGCTACCAAATGGACTGATGATTGTCAGAAAGTCTTTGACAGAATCAAGGAATACCTGTCAACGCCGCCAGTTTTGGTCCCACCCGAGCCGGGTAAACTTCTATTACTCTACCTTGCAGTATTGGATGGAGCTTTCGGTTGTGTTCAGGGGCAGCATGATGAAATGGGAAGAAAGGAGCAAGCCATCTATTATCTCAGCAAGAAGTTCACCTCGTACGAGGCCCGATATTCTCTATTGGAATGCACCTGTTGTGCCCTGACATGGGTAGCTCAGAAGTTGAGGCACTATTTCTGTGCCTATACTACTTATCTCATATCAAGAATGGATCCTTTGAAGTACATCTTTCAAAAGTCCATACCCACTGGCAAGCTAGCCAAGTGGCAAATCCTGCGGAGTGAATTCGACATTGTTTACGTGACTCAGAAGGCAATCAAAGGACAAGCACTGGCAGATCATCTTGCTGAAAATCCCGTGGATGGGGAATACGAGCCTCTAAAGACGTATTTTCCCGATGAAGAGGTATCTTTCATAGGGGAAGATATTGCAGAACCCTATGATGGTTGGAGAATGTTTTCCGATAGAGCAGCAAACTTCAAAGGAATTGGCATAGGAGTGGTCCTAGTATCAGAAACCGGCCAGCATTATCTGGTGTCTGCCAAGCTCAGATTCCCGTGCACCAACAACATGACCGAGTACGAAGCCTGCATCTTAGGGCTCAAGATGGCCATTGACATGAACATTCAGGAATTGCTAGTGATCGGAGATTCATACCTGCTTATACATCAAGTCCGAAAAGAATGGGCAACCAAGAACTCCAAGATACTCCCTTATCTGCATCATGTACAGGAATTGAGGAAAGAGTTCACAAAGACAGAGTTCCAACATGTTCCCAGAGTTCAGAATGAATTTGCCGATGCATTGGCTATCCTATCATCCATGATACAACACTCAGACCAGAACTTCATTGATCCTATTCTGGTAAAGATCTATGATCAGCCAGCTTGTTGCACTCATGTAGAAGAAGAAGCGGATGAAAAACTTTGGTTTCATGATATCAAGGAATATTTGACGAAAGGAGAATATTCAGAACTCGCATATCCTACTCAGAAACGCATACTTCGGAGATTATATGGAAACGAACTGCATCCAGTATGTCCAAAAATGCCATCGATGTCAGATACATGCAGACATGATAAAGGTGCCTCCAAACGAGCTTACGACAACAAGCTCTCCATGGTCGTTCGCTGCTTGGGGAATGGATATTATTGGACCTATCGAGCCAGCATCATCAAATGGGCACAGGCTCATTCTAGTGGCAATTGATTATTTCACCAAATGGGTTGAAGTAGCATCCTACAAAGCAGTGACTAAGAAAGTGGTAGTATATTTTGTTCGCGACCGCATTATTTGTCGGTTCGGAATTCCGGAGTCAATCATCACTGATAATGGTTCCAATATCAATAGTAACCTGATGAAAGACATGTGTGAAACTTTCAAGATCAAACACAAGAATTCTACAGCTTACAGATCTCAGATGAACGGAGCTGTAAAAGCCGCCAATAAGAATATCAAGAAGATACTGAGGAAGATGATAGAAAAGCATAAGCAGTGGCATGAGAAGTTATCATTTGCCTTGTTGGGATACCGCACCACAGTCCGCACATCAACCGGGGCAACTCCCTATATGTTGGTTTATGGTACAAAAGCAGTCATTCCCACCGAGGTAGAAATTCCCTCCTTAAGAATCATACAGGAAGCCGAACTTGACGATGCAGAATGGGTAGAGAGTTGCTACGAGAAGCTAGCTCTTATAGACGGAAAGAGAATGAATGCAGTTTGCCACGGTCAGCTCTATCAGAACAGAATGTCCAGAGCCTTCAACAAAAGAGTCAAGCCAAGACA